TGGCCAGGTGCAAACGCAGCGTGCCGGGGATGAGCCGCTGAGCGTGATCGGCCGCGACGGCGCCCGCGGCGTGCCGGAACGAGCAGGGGCCGGGCAAGGGGTGGGGAGTGTTGCGATGAGGGCCGTGTGGGGTGCATGGCATGTACCCCCATCCTGCTGCCATCTCCCTCTTTCACCACCCCCACCCCTCAACCTGATTTCTCATGCATTTGCAGAAATCCCACTCCTACCCATCCAGCTTGGTCCCCTTCCCTCCCATTGTTGGTGACCTCCGAGTCGGGGACGTCACCTGTTTCCCACCACCCAAATCCTCTGCCGTGACCCCACGGCGCTGCCTCGGTCCCCCACCTTTTGAAAGCGATGTAGGCCACCAGCCCCACCACCACGGCCGCCAGGATGGAGCAGTAGACGGGGATGAGGTTGTCGGCGGTGCCGCGGCTCACGACGGGCTGCGAGCTGCCCATGACGGTGGTGACGGTGTCCGCCAGGGTGCTGGGCATCACCTCGGTGTTGAAGGGGTCCCTGGTGACGGGCTCGGGGCTGTCGGAGCCCACCAGGGGTGGCGCGTGTGTTGTCCAGCGAGGGTGGAGGTCTGCCAGGCAGGAGGGGAAAAGAAATGAGAATAATTAGCCATGGAGGTGGCCGTGCCTTGGAACGGGCTGTGGCGGGTGAATCGGTGAAGGGACAACGATCCCTGCAGGGATCTTCTTCCGTAGGTTGTGGGGCTTGCAGAGGTGCCAGCGCTGCCCCATCCCCTTGTCCCCAGGCTTGTCCTAGCAAACCACCTTGTCCCCTGGCCCCAGACAGCACCCGGTCCCCAGGACAAGCTGAAACCATCCCCTGTCCCGAATGGCCGATGGTGCCTGGTCACGGCTGGACATGCCAACAGCTTTGTGAGCTCTTCTTTCCCAGCACAGGGTTTGCTCAAGCCCTCCAGCTTTTCCCCCCAACATCCGAGCCGCAGACTGAGCCGCGGGCTCCCGTCGCCGGTCCCGCAGCCCCACCTGCCCCCCATCCACCCCACAT